TCCCCGCTCCCCACTCCCTCATGAGCCCTTGATAGTTTATAAATTGTTATTTTGTCATATCCATTTTGCCAATTTTATAGCACCTAACAACAGCAGCAACAACAAGCTAAACTATTGTTTGGTTCTAAGATGACTTGAGGGGCTATTATAGTTTCAAGCTAAGATTTCCTATTATCCTTAAAATAGTTTCAGGGGGTTATCCAGACTCCCTGTGTCCAGAAAGCCTAGTCAACAAGATTTGAAATTTTGTTCTGCATTTTCAACCATTTAGGAGTCTTTTAACACTTGGAATCTTAACCCAAGTGAGATAGTTAAGGTATATTGGGCCAACCTTGCTGATATACACATGTGGGATTAATTGAAGGGCGGAGAGATATATGGCTCGGTAAGCCTCGCCCTTCTAGCTCTCTGGTCTCTTGTTCTCTGATGGTCCGACCAGGGTGCGGCTGCCTTAGCCAGTTCCCTGCTTCAGCTGGCAAGACTCATTTCCTGTGAGACATCCCTGAGGAGAAGAGAAACTACATGGACCTACCCCAATGCAGCCCTGGGTGCTGGAGCAGCCGCTTGGAGACCCCTGCCAGCGCTGAGATGCTTACACTCACTGACTCGGCTTTCCTCCTGCAGTTGGCGTCATAATGTGTGTTTTGTGAGATTGAGGAGGACTTTGTAGATCAGTGTCGGACATATGGGCTAATGTTGGATGTGTGGGCTTGGCAGCACTCGGTTGGGATGCTTTCTGAATGCACACTTACCCTTTATATAAATCTCTCTCTCATATATATGAGTTTCTGTGGATTTGTTTCCCTAGTTAACCCAGACTAACACACCAAGTTACTTAATGTAGTTTTAAAAATCCTCAATACAAAATGCACTTAGCCTAAGGTGCTCTACTGAAGGTAGTCTCTGTGGGACTTTTAGAACTCATGGCATTGCTCAAAGCAGGCTGGTTGGATGTGGGCACCATCTAGAAAGGCCAGATGATGCTCAGTCTGCTCTTCATCTGGCTGTGAGTGATTAAAAGCTAGGCCCTAGTAGCTAGTCAGTCAACAAAGACCTCTTGAGACAGGCCTAAGAAATAATGATCCTATCCTGTTTGCTTGCTCATGGTCAATAGTTGTTTGCCATGGTTACTCTGAAACCTAAGTTAATGTGAACTATTTACACGTGACTCCCCAAAGTGTGAATTCCAAACCCGATGGTATATATTCTCCATGGATAGGACACCACACAGACTGTCTGTTTTGCATGGCTGTGGTCTTCTTGATGCTACATCTTCTAAATAAAAATTTCTCTCTTTCTGACCTGGAGTGGATAGATTGGTGACACCAGGGCAAATTTCCTGCATTTTAGGTAAAAGAATCTTTGATCAAAATCCCGTTCGGGTCTCATGACGAAGGAGGCAGTTGTTCATGGAAGCAATCAGTCACAGATTTCAGACTCTACTTCTATTTCTGATTCTCTTTCCTCCTCTTTTGCTCCAGGAGAAGAGAGACCAATCATTGTCCTTCGGAAGGCCATTCAGCAAGCTTTTAAGACCCCAGGCACAAGGCAATGAACTAGGAAGTAGAACAGAAGCACTAACACATGATGAGGTCAACTGACTGGGAGAGCCCATGAAGCCCCGCCCCTAAACCCAGGGAGTGGTGGAGTGAGTGATCCTCCAATTCCCTGAATTTGTCTTCTGCCTGATTGACTCTCTTGGCAAGTCCTTCTGTTGTGCTGCTCATTTCTCCTGCCGTCCCTTTCCGTGGAGATGCCTTTTATCAGAGCCTCACTGTGCTCTTGCCTTGTGTTCCTACGTTTGCCCTTCGTTCTCTGATTACATGTCCTGTCGTATTATCTTCATAGAGTTCTCTTCAATATTTGGTCGTCCAGAGATGCCCTTTCACCCCCTCTCTCAGGTTCATGTGGATGGGCCACTGTTTCCCTTTTCCTTGTGGGTCTTGTGATTTGGGGCCGGGCCATTGGAATTTTTGAGGCTGTTTCTTAGTTTTCCCCAGAAGTTGGTGTTTTTGCACACACCACTTTCTGTAAGAAAGTCTTGGGTAGGGCACAGCCTTCTGTCTTTGTTCACTGTTTCCTGCCCAGCGCTGGGATACCAGATCTCCCTCGCTGG